CAGTGAGATAACTATCATAAAAAAAATTATGGCACGTGTCAGCGAATTATGATGTGCGCGTAACACTGTTATGTCTCGTGAAGAGCATCGGTCGCCAGTAACCAAAACAACGACTTCATTAGCTCAGCTTGGCATTCAGTTTCACGTTCACCCGTATAGTTTCCGTTCCCGTAAGAATACGGGAATAAAATATAGCCTATGTTACTCCCCGTTAATGTAGCTTTCCATTAGTGAAAGAATTTTTAAAATCGCACCAGCCGTTTCCGAGATTAGCCGGAACAAACAGACAGAAAGAAAGACAGACAGACAGACAAAAATTTTAAAAATTGGTTTTTTGTTATGAGTACCGTATATACTTTTAGTGCATTAAGTAAAAAGCTGCTAATTTGAAATTACAAACAGACACTTCAATTTTATTTATTTGTATAGATTATCATTTGTACTGCTAGCGATGATCGTATTCATTATTTGAACTCTTTAGTTTTAAATAGGCTTCTGGTTAGTTGTTTTTAAGTACTAAAATGACTTTAAAAATTACATTTAATTTGATCTTGCATATGATAGAATTGGACACAGTTTAAGAAGGTAGTATAAAATTTAGAACATCTTTTGTTTGTATCCACATTGGAACTTTTTTATAAATGCATTACATTAAATTGAAGCAGTTTTAACATAAGTGTAAGCTTAAAAATGAAATTTATTTGAAGATTTTTATGTAACTGACATTTTGTAAAAAAGGAAAGAATTAAGTTATTTGTCCTATTCCAGCATCTGCGGTAAGGGTCTGAATGCTATATTTGTCCTATGTTAAAGAGTTTGAACTGAACTTGTAGAACAGGGTTGTGGTAAATGAGTGGTTATGTTTGCCCAAGTTCTAAAGTCATATGTGTAAATGTGGAGAGGGAGATACTAACTCATGTGTCATCCTGTGGTTCAAAATTAAGAAGTCTGACAACTGTAGCCCTAACTTTTCTTCAAAGTAAAATGTTAATAAACTATTAATTAACCCCTTAACGATCGGATATTTTTGAAGAAAACGGTCCTAAAAGAGCCTATTTTTTTATTCAAGAAAATTATATAAAACTAAGTACATTTTCAATATATGTATTCATTTTTAATTTTTGGATTAATTTTTAGCTTGAAATACGAAATTTAATTTTTTTAGTAAAGCAAACATTTAGGTTTATAATCACTGAATGTTGGCTTTCCAACAAAAAGGAAAATTTAAAAAAAACATGTGTTTTAAACATAAAATGCATTTTATTACACTTTTGCATAAAAAAAAAACATTAGTAATTTTTTTTGTGAGAAGTTTCAAAACATGAGATACAAAGGCCAAAATCACAAACTGGACAGTAGTACCGAGTTTCCTTTCCGCATCTCTTATTGTTTTCATCTCTTTTGGAACAACAAACTTTGCATTCTCTTGATGGTTTCCACTTCTTATCAGTTGGAGGTATCTGTCTAATAAAATGTCTTTTAATCAAACCGTTGGAGTTATTCTCCAAATTCGGCTGCCTCTTTTTTGCAGTGGTTTCTGATATAGAATACTTTTTAATAAGCTCATCTACTAAAGATAAACGAACATCAAATGTGATTTTTTGCCTCCTTGTTTTTTATAAATAAGGTACTAGTTCAAAATAGTACTTCTTACCTCGTTTTCGAGTAATTCAGTAATCTCCAAAAAATTGGTCTACAATGTCTACTGGCTCCAATATTTTTATTGTAGTCAGTGACAAAAAAGTACTAAAAGTATAATCTGATTTACTTCCTAACTGTATAATGTATACAATATTAAAAAAAATATTAATTTTTTATCAGTTTTTCTTCTAGAACTTTTATCCATATGTTTTTACGAAGAGCGCAACTGAGTACTTGACCTAAGATTAAAAAACCGTATCACTAATGTATATGTTTGTTGTGCTGAAATTTAGTTAAAAAAAATGACTATTGCTAAAAACGTTAAAAATAATCTGGTGCTGCCATCTGGTGTATAGATTAAGAAAAAAAACAATATTCCGGGCTTAAGAAACAGATTGTTTCAAGCTTTTATGTCAAAATACTTTTCAACACTCCAGCCCGGAAATATCACGGGCACAAGGAATAGAGAGGGAAATTTCACCCCATGAATTTGACGGGAGCGAGAGGCAAGGGGTTAAAAAGCATTTTCAGACAAAGTTTTAAAAAAATGATACACATAGTGAATGCATGTACGTGTTACATATTTACAGTATTCTTAAAATTCAGAATCATTCCAAAATATGTAATTTTTTACTTGGGCACATTATGTTGAAAATCTGTTTAGCATTATAGTGTACAAAACGAAATTTGAACACATTTTACACCTGAAGAAGTTAATTGATTTTCAAAATAAATAATTTATATTATAAAATCTGCTTATTTCTAAAGGATAGTAAATTCAGAGTATAATTTATTGAGTGTTTTTCATTAGAAAAAATGTTCCAATTTTGAATATCATTCTGTAACATAATGCCAAGGCAGTGTTTCAGAATTCCATTTGAATAACATCACTAAATTGGATGCTTCTTTTCATGATCAAGGCTCAAAATTATCAAATCGATCTTAATGTAACATTAGCTAGAAGTTCATCCAAAACAAGCAGGATTTTCGGAAGTTAATGTGAAGTCTTAAGATACTAGCAAAATAAAGTATTATGCTTTCAAAAGCTAATTAGAGGGAAAGGGGAGACTAGCTTTTAATGGCAAACATTGCAAATTTGTAAGTTTACAGAATAGGTACGAAAACTCCTAGATTGAATCCTGATTTATATATATAAGTATATATGTATTTTAACTGTCAATGTGCAAATCCTCTTTGAAATTTCCTGTTTTCTCTTTCCTGAAATTCTGAAGAGAGCCACATTTCTGTTATAAATCTTTCACAAGTACTTTATATATGTGTGTGTGTTTGTGTATTTTTTATTTGATTTCATTCAGGTATAAGAATTAATGTAATGTGCCAAGACATTGTTATATTTATCCATATCAAGGTAATCATATTGTAATGTTATCACCCATCTTTGGTGAACATAAACAAAAACTTGGTGCGTGATTACACCACATTGCACATTCATTTGAATTCCTTAAAAAAAAAACACTTAAACATCTAGCAAATTTTCATAATAAAAGTGAATGAAATTAATTTTAATTTTTACTATGTTATAGTAGTTTTGACAACAAGAATGACTTTATTGGCATTTTCATTTTGCCATAATAATGAAAATAGAATAAGCATTATATTTTATCCATCAAAATCTGATAATGTTTTTTTTTTTCAAATAAAACACATAATCTTTTTCTTTGGATAACATGGTGCATATCTTGCTGTAGTGTCACTAATACATTACTATGAGCTTAGTAACTAGGAATAACTGGAATAAAAAACCTCTTTTGTTTGTTTTAAGAATGGTAGTAGATTTACCAAATTTAGAATATAGGTATGAAATTTACATTCAAGTTTTATATTAACCATTTCAAAATGTAACTTTTAGCAGATAATTGGCCCTTAATCTCAGAAATATAGAATTTTAAATGTACTAATTATGTTACAATAGTAGATAGTTCAATAATCACTATTTTATTACTATGCAGCCTATTTTCTTTAGAACAAGTAATAAAAATTTTTTTTTTGATGTGTAACATCTTTCCTCTCGATTGCTGGAGATTTGTGGGAGTGATTTCGTGAAAAAGGGATGAAAATGCGTAACAGGAAGTTGGGGAAGCAGGCGCTATTTAATTTGACCAATCAGCGCACTTGGTGGTGACCCTTCGCTACCCTAAGTTCTGTTTTTTCTCCTTCATTCGTGAGGGGCTACACCCCCATCCCTACCCCCTGTGTTCTAGGCCGTGGGATCTTTGTTTTTGTTTTCTCACTTTAGGATCAGAGAAGAAGCTAAGTCCTTTAGGTAGAAACGTGGTTAGATAATGACGAACGCGTTTCGATACCTGACTTCAATTGCTGTGTACAATTTAAACAACTGGGCCACAGAGCAGCTGGTGTTGCGATCTATCATAAACAGAACAACTCACATGTTGTGGCTCGACATATGGATATTACTTATCGTCAAATAAGTGAACTGGGTATTGCTAGTCAAGATATTGGGGACATATGTGTGGCAAAATGCTTATTTGAAAATGGACAAACAGTGATTTCGGTGGTCGTATACATTTCTGCAAATCAAATGGTTCAAAAAATTAAAGATTTCCTACATTTTTTACTTTTACCATATACCAAAGGTGGTTCTGCTCTTTAAAAAAAAAAACTATCACTCGCTTCCCATGATTTTGAGTGGTGATTTTAAAGTTAACTTCAGTTTACTAGAAGCCGAGCCACTCGCAGCTTTTTTGAATGATGAACTCAAGCTCGAAATGAACACAAATCGAAATGTTTCGACAACTAACAGTGGTCTGTTATTGACGCTATTTTTCAACGGTTTTTAAATACTTTGAAAACACAAGTATATGCTTCATATTTTAGTTATCATAAATTATCGTTACCGCTCTTCCCCAAATTGAACGAAAATAATTATTTTTCATAAAAAATTGCATTACTCCTTGTGTTAATTAAATAAAATTTTTATTAAAGATATAATTTAAAAAAACTATTTCCAATCACACTCGATTCATTTTTTTCAGTATTTAAGTTGCTATTGCTAATTTACCACGATAACATGTCAGATGTTACACATCGTATGCGACTACTGTAAGGCTCGTTTCTTTTCTTTTTTTTAAGTCAATTTCTACTTAGGTCAACAAAGAAAAATTTTGCTTTATTTAATTTTTATTAAATAATTATAATTAATATAAATATGTATATACATTTGACAAAATCATAAGTGGCAAAATAAAGTGATTTTCTTTATAATTTTCCTTTCTATATATGGTGATGGACTATTATTTTTGTTTGTTAGTATTTATTGAATTTAATTATTCTAATAAAATAGTATAGTAAAAAGGAAATCACATTCTCAGAAATTAGGCCATCCCAGGTAGGATTTGAACCCACTACCTTTGGATTCAATGTCTAATGCACTATCCATTGTGCTACAGGGACACAAGCAATTTTCCTTTTTATATATGGTGTTGGACTATTATTTTTGTTTGTTTCTATTTATTCATTAATTAAGTTTAACTAATGAATTAATATTTGAGAAAACTGTATTAACATCAAGTATCATCCATTACAAGTTTGAAAAATGTATTTGAACTTGAATGGATGAATAGAAAGTATTTTATTAATGATTGAAAATTTGAACAAGATATACCGGGAGATTGTGAACTAATTGCAGGAATCGAGAAATGGATACAGACTGCCACCACTCTAAAAATAATTACTAAATATTTTCTGGAGCTGTGCCAAAATTGCTAAAGGTCTGAAGTTGATATGAAAGTATCAAATAAAATTTTGAATGAAGTACTTAAATAATTCTGAGAAACTCTTGCTTAGAAATTTCTTTTTTGCTGAAGTATATTGTTGGTACTAGTTTTGTGTAATACATTCTATAGACAGGGCCGCCGCGTGGGGGTGGCAAAATTGTTCACCGCACAAGGGCGCCTGGGCCAGGGGGTGCCAAAATTTATATTACTTCTAGTTTTTTTAAATTTAATGTTACTGAAATAAAAGTTGTAAATTATACACTTACAATTTTGCATGTTTTATATTTTCTGAGCAATAAAATGAGATTTAATTTTAGTTTAATTTTACTTTTGTTTTCATTTCTGTGGGTGTTTTTCATTTGTGTAAAACAAAATTTGATTGCCGATATGAGGTTTTCGCGCTATTGCATGGAACGTGTTAATAAAACGTGTTCTCAAAAATTACTAAAAATTATAGCTCTTTTTCATTAAAAGTTTATAATTATTATGTATCTGAGATGCTTTCAATGTTTCAATTGCTTATAACAAATGCTTTTTAGTAATTCGTATTAATATTTTGGTTTAATTTACTTTAATATTTTTGAATCATCAGAAAGAAGAAAAAATTTCACACTAAATTCTTAAAAATAAATTTTCCGCAAAAAAAAAGTTTTTAAATTTTCAATTAAATTAGTTTCTTTATCTGAATCTTTATTTAGTAGCAGATGACATAAATGGTCTTTCGACTTTCAAATAGTGTATTAAAAGATTTTTTGTATATGGAATGAAAACTAAACTTTTTTTATTTAGAGCAAGAAATATATTTTAGAAACATGTTCTCAAAAAAAGAAAAAAAAAGTCTATGGAGCACAAAATAGAAAAAGGAAATTGCAACGAGTGGAAGCTAATCAGAAACTGGTGGGATCTCTAAATAAATATCTTAGAAACATAATAGGATTAGACGGACAAGCAATTGAACCAGGACCATTAACATCAACATCTGGTTTGAAATTTCATAATGAAAATTTATCTCGAAATGTAATTTTATCAGAATATGATCAAGAAGAAGCCACGATTGTACCAATAGAAAATTTAGATGTTGATAAGAAAATTCGCCTGGTCATAACGTAATATCTCAAAACGAAGATTTTGGCTTTGAATTAAACGATCCAGCTACCTGACCCGATACAATTTCTATAAAAATTAAGGATTATTTAAAAGAAAAGGGCCCTTCTAGCTTGATAACCAAGCATTTTCTGAGAAATAATTATGTCAGGTAAAGTTTTCAGCATCGTTCTATTATAGATCATTACCAAATTGAGAAAAAATATTTAGAAATTATTTAGTATATTCAAATTCCCGAAACGCAGTTTTTTTTGCTTCCCATATAAACTAATCAGTGAGAAGTATTCACAACTTATTAAGGATGAATTAATGATTGGGCACATTTAACCCACATTTTGAAAATACATGAAAGCAGTACATATCAACTTAAACATAGCTCAAAATGCAGTGAATTCAAAATGCCTTTGCATAATTTATGTACCATTGAGGCATCTCAACAAAGGCTTTATGTTGCAGAACATGTTTACTGGCAATCGCTTATGAACGTTATTTATTTGTTTAATTCAATATTTTTCTCGGCAATGCCTTGCATTTAGAAGTCCTTCGAAAGAGTTGTATCATAGGGATATATATAATGGAGATTTTTTTAAGTTGGTTGAAACCATAGCAAAATTTGATCTAATAATCGCTGAACATCTCCACAAAATTCAAACATTTCAAAAGAGGAGCATTACTCATTACTCAGGGGATCAAATTCAGAATAAAATTGTAAGCATTATTTAAGAAGGAATTAAAAAGCGTTTATTACAAATGATTAAATCGTCAGAATATTACTCACCTGAAGTCAGTCTTACCGTTAAGTTGACTGTTGCAATTCGATCAATTTATAAGAACGAGGAAACCAATAAGAAACCCAAATCGAAGAACATTTCTTAGAATTTCAATCTGTCGGCGACATTACTGGACACCCTCGCTGCCCATTCTCTAAATTTATGCAACTAAAATTTCCTTCGAAACAGTTAATTCCTTCAGAGTAGTGCAGAAGCGTTACAACTACATTTCTTCATCCGTAAAACGTTGGTCTATTTTGCAACAGTATGTTGAAAATCTGATTTTAAAGCTACTCTCTAGCACCAGCTAGAAAAGTAGAATTCAATCTTTAAGACCGTTGAAAAACGATTTGAAGGGAATTTTGAGAGAGTAATAAATATTCAAGAAGATCAAACAAGAGACATGAAATCAATAATTCAAACAAAAAATTTGACCCAGAAGGTTTCCTCGTTTAAATTTCTTTGTTCCATTAACATCTGGCACGATATTTCAAATTTAGTAAATGTGGTAAATGAAATAATGCAAAATTCTAAATGTGATTCACAAATCATAACTGACAATTTACAAAATCTTATATCAGCTAAATAATCTTCGATCAGACGAAGTGTATGAGCACATGCAATTGTCAATACAAGTATCGTTGCAGACAATTTGGGGATGGATACTAATTATCCACAAAGTCGAGAAACAGGTTTAAAAAGAAACTATTTCAAGATGAACAAACGAACGCGAACCAATCAACAATCCAAGACTCAAATTTAAGGGTGAATTTTACAACATAACTTTAGACTCTTCTATTTCTTTAATTACTGAAAGATTCAGTCAATTAAAATAATATTACAATTACTTTAATGCAGTACACTATATACCTAATTTAGAAACTAGAGTGACAGTGAAATTTTAAAACATTGTAAATAATTAGAACAAAAATTAACGGATACTAAAAATATTAATGAAAAGGACATTGATGGATTAAATTTGTTCGAAGAAATAAAATCTTTGCGATGTTTTACCAAAAAGGATATGACACCTATTGATGTTTTAAATTATATTTATGAAAGCAATCTTACCGATACATTTCCAAATATTGCAATAGCTTTACAGGTTTCTTTACACTTGCCAGTTTCGGTGGCTACTACAAAGTTTTTCAAAACTTAAAGTTATAAGAAACTACGGGCGATCTACCATGGCGCAGAAGAGATTATCGGACTTGTCAATTATATCCAAAGAGAGCGTAATTTTGGATAAATTAAATATAAAGGAATTGATACGAGCGTTTGCAGCTTCTAAAGCTAGGAAAATCAATATTTGGATATATTTTTTCTTATTTTTATATTTTACTTAAAAAGTGTTTTATCTTTATATTGTTTTCAAAATTTATGAAATAATAAAAACAATAAGATAATCGTGTTTTATTTAATATTATAATTTTAAAGCTTTTCAGTTCGAAAGTCAAATTTTGAATACTATAAAAGAGTATTTCACATATAATTTACAGCACTTTATAAGAGAGCAACAAACCCTATAAAGGGGCGCCAAATTTCAATTTGAACAAGGGCGCCTAATACCCAAGCGGCGGCCCTGTCTATAGAAATAAAGCTTATGAAAATACATATTAACCTATAGAAAATAAATTCTCTACATACAATGGTTGCCTGAAATATAAAGAATATAAATTTAAGAGTACAAAAAGAATATTTATTCTGGTTGTAGGGATTTTGAATTTAAACACAGGGCAATATGTAGAAAACATGCCAATTTATATTGTTATTATGTTTGTAGTGAATGTATCTTAGGGGAGAAAATGTCATAAATGTTTGAGTTGGCAATACTTTAAAAGAGTAGTCATCAACCCATTGTTACTCTATACCAGGCATGTCAAACTCATTTGATATCACGGGCCACTTGAGCTATTTTGTATTAAGTTGAGGGCTGCATGTTTTTTCAATGTTCAAAAAATTAATAAAACAAGAATTTTAGAATGATTAAATTTTTTTATTTAAAATTCAATGTATTATATATTATACACACATAATTGTTTAATATTTTAGTTTATTTTCTAAAAATATACATGCTTTATACTTTTTATAAAAAACAAATAAAAATTATAATACGACATACAATTTGATATTACTTTTAGAAGATCTTTTTTTCCCCCCAAAGTAAGTCATCAAAATTTGGTTAAACACGTTGAGTTGATGAAATTTTTTTAAAAATTATGATAAATATTGATTTTTCAATCTTGATGTCTCTGAATTTTCATTACTTTTCATAAAAGAAGAAAAGTTTCTCGCATAAATAAATGCTTTCAAACATAGCCATTCATTATACGTGTAACAAATAATAACATTTTAAGAAACCAATCTACGGATGAATATGTTTAAAAATCTAGAGAGAGAGTACTTAACTTCTTCAAACATTTTTGCTTCATCAAAGAATCATAATAGATTTCAATGAATTTTATTTGTAAGTTTTCATCGACAACTTCAATATCGGCAGATAGAGGTGAAATTAAGAAACAAAATTGTAATTCAAAAATTTTTTAATCAAAAAATATTCAATCGAATTTTATTTTTAACAATTTAATTAGGTGGGAATATTCTGTAAATTTTAATTTAAGTGATTTAATCAATAGATTTTGAAAGCTTTCAAAGTAAGACAAGTTTTATCTTTCTGTTTGTAATAATTTGTCTGTAATAATTTTTGTTTGAAAGCGTTAATATATCAAATAACATTGTAACAAAAGGATTTTTGCCTTGAAGCTTAAGTTAGGTTGACTTGTAATATCAACTGAGAAAGCCA